GTCATTTTTTCCAAGTCATCCAGTTTGTTGACACATAATTATTCATAGTAGTCTTTTATGACCCTTTATATGTCTACAGTATCAGTTGTAATATCTTTTTTGTTTATAATTTATTTGAATCTTTTAAAAGTAAGTTTTGTCTACATTGTATAAATTTTGTTTATCTATTCAAAAAACCAACTTGTAGCTTCAATTACCTTTTAAAATTTTTTAGTCTCCATTTCATTCATTTCTGTTCTGATCTTTATTATTCTTCACTTTGCCAATGGGTATAGATGTGAAGCCTGGGCCTCTGAGAGTAAGCATGAAGCCTGGGGCTGCAGGGATTGGACTGATGCTGGGGTTTACTTGGGGGGAGGAGGGTGGTGCTGATTCATGCAAAGTCTGGTGCTTATGTCATTCTCCTTCTTCACAAGGAGAGTATCTTTCTCATTCCTGTGCTGCCTGGGGTTGGGGAAAGGTTAACGCAAGTAATGTAAAACTATTCTCTCTCCTTTCTTCTTATTCTGTGCTTCACTAAGGTATTGTCACATGAATTCCTTAGCTCTTATGAAAACATTTTTTTGCCTATCTAAATTGATGTTTTTGTATTAGAACAAATGCAAAAAACTCCTTTTCTGCCATTTGGTGGTATTCTTTTTGTATTCTCTTATAACTTCCTGTAAGTCTAAATTTACCAAAAAATAAAAGCTTAGTTATAAATGAATGTAAAGCCTTTTCCAAAAATAACAAAGTCAAAAGAATTTATCACCAGAAAACTTCTGGTGCTGGAATTCTTATAGACATTGAAAAGTGGTAAAGATGTTGAAAATAACACTATATTGAAAGCTGTCTACATCAAGAAATAAAGTGTGCCAGAAATGGTAAATATATGGGTAAATATAAAGCCATTTTGTTATTATTTAATCTCTTTTTTTAAAAAAAACGATCAATTCAGACCAGAAATAATAAGAGGGTATTGTAGAGTTTTTAACAAATGTATAAGTAGAAGTACAGTGTATGACAACAGCAATCACATTAGTAACTCTTGGCAAACATTTAAGGAGAGAAACAGTCAATTCCCCCAAATTAAAAAATTTAAAATACCATCTCAGTTTGTGAGGACAGTATTATTCTGATACCAAAAGTAGACAAAAACATTTAATAAACAAAATATACAAACCAATATCTCTCAAGAACCTACATACAGAACACTTAAACTCTTAGCATGTCAAATTAAACAATATGTAAAAAGATAATACATGAAAATCAAATGGGGTTTATTCCAAGAGTACAGATTTGTTTAACATTGGAAACCAAACATTGTTAACTCATCATATGAATAGATTTGAAGAGAAAAAGTATATCACCATGTCAGTAGTTGAAGAAAAAACACTGGACAATAATAGCATTCAGTCTTAAGAAAAACTCTGAGCAAATTAGGAATAGAAGGGGACTTTCTCAAGCTGATAAAGGACATCTATAAAAATCCCACAGATAATTTATTGCTAACCTAAGTTAACATCATGAAAAAACCTAAATGGTTTTCTCTTAAGATCAAGAACAAGGTAAAGATGAAGGATACTGGTTTGGGGGAGTTTGTTATAGTCACTTTTGGAAAATATAAACTGTCCCAATGTATTAGAATTTGATAAACTTTTGAGTGTGTGTATGTGTGTGTATAATAGAGAATGATCTAAGTTCAAGGACTTCTATTAAAATATTGGGAAATCTTTATGTCAGAAAGAACCTCTCTTGATTAAAAAGCGATAAAGTTGATTGTCTGGAACCTTTGACTCCAAAGTCTGTACATTTTTACAACATTCCTATGTTACCTTATCATAGCTACAGTCTGTGCTGTGCTTCTTTTAGTGTTTTTAGACATTTATTCTAATTTACATGGCAGTACTGTAAATAATAATTAAAATAATAGGTGGATGTAAACTTAGCAATAAAAACTCTAAGTACCAGAATATTTGTAGTATTTATAAAGTAATGCTATTTTATCAAATTCTGAAACTGTCAGCAAGAGGGACACAAGTATACGTTTTACAGATCTTCACTTGATTAAACTATAACCTAAAATCATAAATCACTTGTATATTTATTATTTGAATGCAATTGATTCCTTGGAAGTCCTTCTCTGAGGATGTTTAGTACACTTGATTTCATGTATCAGAATTTCCTTTGTACACTCCACTTTCAAAAGGCCTGATAAACTTCTGCCTCAAAAACTCCATGCCATAGGATGATCAAAAGTAAGAATGCTTAGGTAGTTACGCTTATGGCATGCCTTTCCCTGCAAATTATCCTTTCCAAATAATACTTTTGTTTCCTGTCCATTTTGACACATATTCATCATAAGGAAAAATACAGGTTCCTATAGTATTTGCATTATAGGGGCTGGGAAAATAATAATCTTGTGTACTTCTCCTTTGGTCAAGTTTTAAAATTTTAATTAATGCTAATTAATTTTTAGTCCCCTTTCTCTTCAAATTTCAAGTAAGCCTATGCTAGCACATACACCAAATCTCCTAAATCTGAAAACTAAACACCAAAATAGAAATATCTAAAAGTAGAAAACAATTGAGATGAATAATTTCTCTTTTCCTTACTGAACGCAAAACAAAAATTCCTACTTAACAACTTATTGTGAAGAATATGTATGTGTATTATTTTATTTCTGGATCCTAAAAACTGGACTAAACAAATATTTTACTGAGTTCAATATTTTGCTGAGTTGCTTTGCTCAGGACACTTAAGAGGGATAAGTGGTTTTTGCTCTTAAAGTTTTTACAATCTAGTTGTACACATAAAACATTAATAACAATATAAAGCAGGATGTCAATTAGTGCTATGATGAAGGCACATAATAAGCCAATGTGATGAAGAATCCATGCTGCCAAAGCAACAGGACTGAAAATGGAGGAGTAAAATTCAAGAGGGTGAAGGATTCTTATTGGATATAAAAGTGTTAAGGCCAAAGTTGAGGAGAAGAGAACAATATGATTGGAATGATATAGCCAGAATCTTCTTCCATAATGTATCCTTTAATTTCTAGAAGGTAGCCATTTGACAAGATCGAGGAAAGGTGTAAGACAAAATTATAGCTTGTTTTAGCACCACCTCTTATATTTGACTCTTCATATACTCTACCTGTACTTGAAGTCTACCCTAAGGGGGATGATGAGTTTGCCTGAGTTACTTCTGGTCTTCCAGAATTTACTTCTGTCAGTAACTCTGAGATATTTGAACAAGAGAGAACAGCTCTGAATTCTGGGTGAATGCTTCATCTTCACTGAATTTCTTTCTCTCTTTTAAAAATGCATTTTCTTCTCTCTAGGAACGCTACATTCAAACCCTGCATTTATAGAAGACTAGGCACTATTCAAAGGTTGGGAAATCCTTATCTCAAAGAGGATGTTTTTTGATTAAAGGTTAAAAAGTTGTAAGACTTCTACTATAATTGAATAAACAATGGAGGTGGGACTTAATGATCTCTAAGGAACTATTGTGTAATTAAAATGTGTGGTTTGTGAAGTCATACAGATTTGAGCTGAAATCCTGGCTTCAACTACTATTATTAGCATGGCCTTGTAAAAGTTACTTTACCACTCTTAGTTTCAGTTCTCTTATCTGTATAATATGAATAAAAATAAAAATATTGCTTTGAAATCTAGTTCTCAGGAGAATTAATAAAGATAAAGCAACTAGCATAGTGTCCTGCACATATGTGTATCAAAAATGATTAGTTACTATTCCCATACTTATAGTCTTTGTTTTTCCTCTTTAAAATACTTTAAAATCCTTCATCTCCAACATCATCACCCAAGTTTAACAATATTTTTCCTCTTTTGTCTAAGATGTTATAATAGATTATAAACTAGTCATTCTACCACCTGTCTTTTTGTTCTCTCTCTTTTTTCATTTATCCTACAATTTAGCATTTAAAGAAGTGACTTCTCAGAAAGAATGTATTTCTATGGATGATGAGGAAGAGGAAAAATAAACAGGTAATAGGCCCAGGGGATAATCTGAATTCTTTAGTTTGGCATTAAAGGCCCCTTTCAGTCCATAGAGTAGTTTAGGGCCATTCACTCATTTTCTGAACAGCATGACTCCTCCCACTTATATGGCAAGCCACTTTAGTTAGAAACTTAAGTTACCTTTTATCATTTTGACGTCCAGAAATGTTGTTTTCATTGTTGCTCTATAATTTGTTGTCAGTTAAGACATCAAAAGCTTGCCAAATATTCAGACAGTTTGAACCTTAGCTTGTATGATAAACTCTCTTTGATCTCTTTAGCTTGCTTGGTAAGAAACTGGAACACCCCTAGGTACTTAACTATTTCATTTAGTCCTTATGATATCCTAAAAAGTGGTTATTTTTAAACTTACTTTTAAAAGTGGAGACTGAAACACTGTGTGATAAAAGTTATGCAAAATTCTGCAACTGGTGACTGGTGGGATCAGAAGTAGAATACTGATAGGTTCTACTGACTACAAAATCCATGTTATTTCTATTACTCAGTATGGCCTTAGTTATATAGTTGGTAGGAGAATAAAGATAATGACACTTTCTAAGTAACCTTGGGCTAGTCACTTTTCTCCTTGTATTTTATCATTTAAAAAAATGGATTTTCTTCTCTTAAACTGGGGGATATATGTACAAGCTTCATTTTGTTGTTTGTACCTTATATTTTGTTTACAGTACTCTTTACTATGTAATATATATTTAACGAAACTATTTCATAAGAAGTAAAAGAATTACTAAAATAAATAAGGATATGAATAGCCTTTCACATACCTCTGAGTCATAGAACTTACTTTGGAGAGACTCTAGACGTCACCTAATCCAGTCCTTTTGTCTTATGGATGAAAAGTTCATAAGACACATTGAGGCAGGCCACTAGGCCAAAGTAGGAGAAAAGTTTGTGGCTGTGCTGAAACTCAGTTATTCGGATTTCCACTTAAATGATTTCCCCTATTCACTTTGAGATGTGAGCAGTTGCTTTCCTGGCAGGCAAATTAACAGTGTGACAACACAGGTTAGGTGGGCAGGCTGCCTGCTGGAGACTCTTGAGAGCCATGGCACAGAAGCCTTCTCAGAGCATGCTTCACCTCTTTGTTCCGCAGGGTGTAAATGAAAGGGTTGAGTGTGGGAGTGACTATTGTGTAGAAGACAGCAGGGGCCCCAGCTCCTGCTCCACTGGAGCGAGGCTGCAGGTAGATACAGACAGGTGGCATATAGTACAAGAGCACCACGGTGAGGTGGGCGGTGCAAGTGGAGAAGGCTCGCTGCCGGCCCTCGGCTGTGCGGATGCGCAACACAGATGCCACGATGAAGACGTAGGAAGTGATGATGAGGATCAGGCAGCCTGCAGCCACGATGCCGATGTTGGCAAGCATGACAAGCTCATTTATGGTGGTGTCCGCACAAGCCAGCTTCAGCACAGGGGGGATGTCGCAGAAGAAGTAGGCAATGTGGTGAGGCCCACAGTAGAACAGGTAGAAGGTGAGGGAAGTATGGATTGCAGAGTGCATGGCACCTATGGCCCAGGTGACCCCAGCTAGCCCTGCACACATCTGCCTGTTCATGGTCACTGGGTATTGAAGGGGTTGACAGATGGCCAGGTAGCGGTCGTAGGCCATGACTGTGTACAGAAAGCACTCAGTGCTGGCCAGGAAGTGGAAGCAGTAAAGTTGTACAGCACAGCCCTCAAAGGAGATCACCTTCCCATCCAGAGTCAGCAGGCCGGCCATGACCTTGGGCACTGTCACTGTAGACAAACATGCATCCAGAAAGGAAAGGTGCCCCAGAAAGTGATACATGGGGGAGCGGAGGTGAGAGTCAGAGCCCACAGTTATGAGAATGAGGAGATTCCCTGTCACCGTGATGCTATAGACAAAGAAAAAGAGGACAAAGAAGAGGGTAGGATGTTCAGCTGTGTACATCAGACCCTCCAGGAAAAAGTGGCTCACCACAGTCCTGTTTGGGTACTCCATTGCCATGGCCTTCTTCTCACACAAATTGCTTAGTCATCCCCTTTGCAATAAAACTGACATTAGCAGAGTAAATAGCTGTTTTCTTTTCCTAAAGTATCATTATTCATCGGGTCACTTCATCTTGGTCTTGCCGGAAAGCAGATTCAATTACAGTTTTGATTTGTTCTAGTGTTTCTTGCTGCTTGTTTCTTCATAATGAATCTTTCACCATGAGCTCTGCAGTCTTTGTGAGGTACAAAAAGGACTGTAAGTCTTAGTTGCAGAAATGTACTTCCTAAATAATAGCAGTATAAATATGGATTATAAATCTTGCTCTTACTGAATATAAATTTGTATGTATTCCAAAATTGTGATGCCTCCGCCCTTCGCATTTATTCTGCCATGCTGCAGATGTGAATAGGCAGGTTCTTATTGCTAAGTCATCAGGGAGTTGCAGCCCATCTTTGGGCGAGTCTTGCCCAGAGTTCAGGTGCTATTGCATCAGCCAAGAACACAACAGCCTATCCTTCTTCACTCAGAGGAGTTCTTTGGAATGTCAGCTACCCACAACTCTCAAGTGTATGACAATGAAGCCTTGGAGAGTGGAATGAGTAATTATTGGGACAATTTATTCAGTACATTTCTTGCTCTTCCTGCATGGTTTCAAAATTTTGGGCATTGTTTACCTATCCTTTTCTTGTTGAGCCTTTCCACCAGGCCATAATCAAAATGTAAGACTTCTCCTTATTCTTCCCACCTCTCACCTCCTGATCCTAATTAGATTGTGTTATGTGAAAAAAAAATTTTTAACTGCTTTTTTTCTCCTGTTATCCCTTCAATTCCCATGAATTTTACCTAACCCCACTTCTGCATATTTTAAACCTAGATTTTCACAATGGCATTTTATGTCTCATCTCTTATTTACTCGCTATTATATAAAATGATTTCATATTCAACTTGTTTGTCAGTCTTCTTGAAACAATAAGTTTAACATAATTTTCTTCCTTAATGTTCTCTGCTGCCTAATATGTTAGATGTATCTCTAATCTCTACTTTTTCAAATGTACTCTCAATGAGTAAGTTTGAACTTTACTTCCTCTAGGAGTTTTTCTAATATTTTTTCTCACATTGATTTATTAATTTCTGAAACTTGATGGTATTTATAATAATTATTAATAAATACTTAAGCATGCACTACTTTGAACTGTCTTAATTATCTATAAGCATAGGTCATGTCTCCCTAAGATGAACAAAGGGAAAAAAAGAGTATACTTTCTCTAATATATTTGGGATAGAACAGTAGAAATAACAAAGAACAAAATTTTTTTGGATGCCTATAAAATTAAGTTTAAACCCCTGGCCAGTCACTTATTAGCTAAAATATATGCATTGTGCTACTTGATTTCTCTGTTCCTTCATTTCTCATATTTAAAATGGGATATTATTATTGATGCTTCATTTTATATAGCCATCATCCTTATTTTTTAGAATAGAACAGGACACACAGCACAGGACTTTACATTTCTTTATATCTAGTAATTCATTTAATGTAATGATCTGTCCAATGATGTTTCTGACAAAAAGTTATAGAACTTCTGCTTGATGAGGTTTAGTAAAGAAGTAATTCCTATTTCACAAGACAGCTCCTTTTAATGTTGTGTGAATCAACACATAATGTTATTTATATCAGTTATATACAGGCATGTCAAAAAATGTATACACATTTTAAGTATGATGTTTGCTCAAAAGATGGCATTAGTCAAATAAATGCTAACATCACCATGTGACAGGCAGGACAGTCAAAGAAAATGGTGGAAGCACAGTTGAGCGGGTGTCATACTACATGTTGCTACTGTAATTTGATTCAAATTTGAAAAGTAATACATAGATAACATCTCTTAAAATATGTATTTTTTTGGCAGTCTGGTATATGTGTTCTTGATATTTGAACCAATTATGTTTGCCATTTTGGGTGTAATGTTAAAAGACAAAGATTGCATGTGGAGAAACTGAAAGCCTCATACATTGCCAATGAAAATGTAAAATAGACAACCCATCTTGGAAAATAGTTTGGAAGTTTCTTAAAAAGTTAAAAATGAATTTACCATATGACCTAGCATTTCCACTTTTAAGAATCTATACAAGAAAAACACACATTTGTATCCATACAAACATTTGCATGTGGATGCTTATAGCAGAATTACCTATGGTAGCCAAAGTCTGGAAATCAGGTTTGCTGTTCATCGCCTGGTGAATGGATACATGAAATAAGTATATTTACACAGTAGAACACCACTCAGCAATAAGAAGAAACAAAATACTAATATAGTTTATAAAATGGATGACTTTCAAAATCATTATGCAAAGTGAAAGAAGCCAGGCAAAAAAAGATTACATATTATATTTGGAATCCATTTTTATGAAGTGTACTAAAAGAAAAAGCTGTAAAAAGAAAAAGATTAGTGAATGCCTAGAACTGGGGATGAACAGAAAATGAGTACAAATGGGAATAAGGAATCTTTCTGAAGTGATGAAATTGTTCTAAAATTGGATTGTGGTAACAGTTAAACAACTTTGTAAATTTACTAGCAATCATTTAATTACACACTTTAAACAGGTTAATTTTACAATATGGAAATTATACCTCAATATGCTGTTAAAAAGTCAGAAGAAAATCCAACGAAGGAAAGTCTTCTGAGCAATGCAAATAAAATGACTTCCATAAATGGAAAAATATCCCTTGCTTAATAATGAGTAAAATATTTAAATTCTTTCTAATTAGAAATATCTTCTTTATTTTAGAATATTAAACGTGCAGAAAAGTTACAAAAAGATCAGTATTCACATATGCCTTGACCCAGCTTCCTCTAACGTTAACAACTTATGAGTCATAGTAAAATTATAAAAATCAAGAAATTGACCTTAGAAACATATTATTAATTCAGCTGCAAAACATATTTAAATGTCACCAGTTTTTTCTCCCAACAACTTTTTTCTATTCTAGGATCTAGTTCAGGATCTTAAATTGCATTTATTTGTTAAGTCTCCCTAATTTTCTCCAATCCATGATAATCTCTTATTCTTTACTCATTGTTCAAGACTTTCAAACTTTTGATGAGTACTGGGCAATAATTTTATAGAATGTCTCTCAGTTTGGGTATGGATAATGCTTTATCCTGAATAGATTGAGGTCATGAATTTTGGGCAGTGTTACCAGAAAAGTAATGTTGCATCTTTTTCAGAGCATCCAGAGGGACCCTGTATCATACATGATGCCAGTATGTTTTTTAACTAATTGTATCAAACATCTTTATGGGGGTGATACTTTGACTATGCTTATATTCTTTATCTCCACAAATGTTCCCACACTGTTTTTAGAATCTCTCAGTGTATTTTGCCTGCCAAAAAATGTTACTTTAAGGTTTGTCTAATGGTGATTACTTATTTATTTACTTTAAAGATGTGGGGTACAATTCAGGATGAGGTATACAAGTGGTCATTGTAAAAGTAAAGTTTGGACCTTCCTTTGTTCCCCACTTTGCTTGCTTTGAGATCAAGTACCCTTATTGATGTTATGTGCCCGCCTCTCCCTCCACTGGCATTTTCCAGCTACTGCCAATCCCTTTCTTATAGCATCATGGTTAATAATCAGGGTCCACTTATAAGTGAGAACATGTGATACTCAGTTCCTTGATAGATCACTCAGTATTATAGACTCTAAATTCATCCAAGTTGCTGTGAAATTCATAAATGTGTCCTTCTTTATGGTTGCATATTATTCCATCTTGTGTATGTACCACATTTTTTTAAATCCAGTCTAGTTTTGATGGGCAGCACAGTTGGTTCCATATTTTTGCTATTGAGAATAGTGCTGCAATAAACATGTGTGGGCAGGTACCTTTTTTGTAGAATGCTTTGAGTTCCTCCAGGTATTACTAGGAGGGGGATCGCTGGGTCATATGGAAGGTCAATGTCCAGTTCTTTTAGAAATCGCCACACTGTTTTCCATAGAGGTTGAACTAGTTTGCATTCCCACCAGCAGTGTAGAAGTGTTCACTTTTCTCCACATCCTCACCAACATCTGTTGTTTTTGTTTTATTAATGATGGCATTTTACTGTGGTTAGGTGGTATCTCAATGTAGTTTTGATTTCCATTTCTCTGATGATTAGTGAGGCTGCACACTTTTTTGTGTGCTTGTTGGCTTTCCATATGTCTTCTTTTGAGAAGAGTCTATTCATGTCTTTTGTTCTCTTTTTAATGGGGTTCCCCCCTCCCCCGCCCCTTTGGGCATGTTTGAGTTCCTTGTAGATCCTGGTTGTTAGGTCTTTGTCAGATATACAGTTGGCAAATATTTTTTTCCATTCTGTGGGCTGTCTCCCTGCTTTCTTGATGGTTTTTTTTGCTATGCAGAAGCTCTTCAGTTTGATGAGGTCCCACTTGTCTATCTTATTTCTTGTGGTATAGACATCTGGGATTTTGATCAGGAATTAGTTGCCAGTTCCAATTTCCATAAGGGTGTCTCCTGCATTTTCTAAGATTCTCGTAGTTTGAGGTTTTACATGTAGGTCTTTGATCCATTTAGAGTTGGTTTTTGTGTATGGTGATAGGTAGGGGTCTTATTTCAATCTTCTGCATGCGGTCAGTCAGTTTTCCCAGCATTTACCGAATAGGTTCTTCTATCCCTAGTGGTTGTTGGTGGAGGCTTTGTCAGAGATTAGTTGGTTGAGAAATGGAGGCTTTGCTTCCAGAATATCTATCCTGTTCTATTCATCTATATGCTTGTTCTTATACCAATGTCTAATGGTGATTAAAAAATCCTTCATCTTTCTACATTATTCATTAGAATTATTCTATAAGGAGGAACTGTTTCTTCTTACTCATTTATTTACTTATTCTATCAGTTATGTCTATATGCTCATGTATTTTATTCTATGTTATAATCCAATATAATTGTTTATTTCTCAAGTTATACTAGCTTTGATTATTTGGAGTTACATCAGTTATCATTTATATCCAGTTGACGTGTTCTATCTTTTTTATATGCTTCTTTATTTCCCAGAGCAACAAGATTTTGCAGGCTCCTCTTGTACTTTCCCTGCCCAACCCTAGACTCTGTGACTTCTCTAAGGAGCTCCTTCATT